ATATATATATATTATATATATATATATATATATATAATATATATATATAGTATATATAAATAATCCTGACTTGTCCCTCATCGTCGAACATAGTTTCTTATTGGGTACAACTTTTTTCCTAGAATCTTCTTAGCCAATGCGACTTTTGTGACAGCTTTCTTTTTGTTCGAAGTTTTTTTATCATTCTCTGTCATTGGAATATCATCGATATCTATATTTTTCCTCTTTATAGTTAATATATCTTCGTCATCACTATCATCTAAAATAAATGTGTAATTACATATAAAAATTCAAAACCTTTTTTATAATAGGAATTGTTACAAAATAATTTTTTTTATTTTACCAAATTGAAGAACAGCACTGTCCTCTTCTGTAACTACTTTTTCGTTATTATTTTTATTATTGTGAATATTTTCACCAGAGCTGTCTCCACTATCTTCCTGTTCGTTGTCATCTATCGAATTAGTTGAAATTTGATCTATTCCTTTTTCATTCTTAACATTATTATTAGTTGACATTTTCTTCTGCATTCTTTGTAAAAATCGAATTCTCGGAGGTATAGCTAAACCTAATGATCTGTAAAAAAATTTTATTATGAAAAAATCTCGTATGATTCGAATTCAACAACGAATGACTTCCTAAATGCTTACTTGGCATATGCATCCGTATTTAATGCATGCACATTGAAGATTTCTTTATCCTTCATTAGGAAAACCGACCTAACATACGCTACAAAAGCTCTCTGAGCTGTTTCTTTCAATGCTACATCTCGCGCCAACAAAGCTTCAAGCTTACGATGCGGCGACTGTAGCTTATTTGGATTAATCCTAAACATAAGAATAGATAAATAATGGATGTAAGCATACTTAGACTAAATATTTATATATAACACAAAGAAATCTTACTTTATCATATTTATTGGGATTTTACGTTGTTTGAGTCTCTCAATTATCATTTCTTCGGATGGTAACAATACCAAAAGAGACTCGCCGCCACTTTTAAATCTGGCAGTTCTGCCTGCTCTGTGTATGTAGGCATTAACATCTTCTGGACAATCCATTTGAATTACCCAATTTACAGCAGGAAAATCTACAAATTATATAATTTTTATAGTTGAAACAAAATTACGCAATGAAATCAAGGAAAATTGTAGACTTTAATATAGAAATTTAAATAATGAATCTAAACACAATTTTAATTTTGAAGCAGGATTTAGTTACCTAATCCACGAGCAGCAATGTCAGTTGCGAATAAAACAGCATGCTGCTTTTTGCAAAATGATTCATAAATACTCATTCTTCTTAGCTGATGAAGTGTGCCATAAAGCGCTAATAAACTGACACCAGGACGCAATCGACAGAATGCTTCATACACATACTTTACCTAAAATCGATTTATAATAAACTAATTGTCAGTTCATAATGACAAATCGTCGAAATATAAAAAAATAATTACTTGTTTACAGCTAGAGAAGAACACAATGATCTTCTGTTTCATGTGATTTTTTATAAAGGACCACAGCATCGCCATTTTATCTTCTAACGAACACACAATGTAACTCTGTTGTAGACCTTCTGGTGTTGTATGCACAGAGTGCTCGTGCACAGATACATATAATGCATCTTTAAGACTTAACCTTGCCAGATCTTTTACAGATCTAATACAAAAAAAAATATATATATATATATAATAACCAATCCCAATGTAAAATTCTAATTCTAATTATCGTTCAATACCTACTTTGTCTGAGTTGCGGAAAACAGCAAGGTCTGCCTTTTAGGTGGTAAATTTTCAATAATAGAATTCATAGTCTTCTCAAAGCCCATATCCAAACAACGATCTGCTTCATCCAACACCAATATCTACAAATAGTCGCATCTTTTTTAATTTTTTCTTCTTCAAAAGCATACAATTCACTTAATTAAGAACAAAGAAATTATTTAACAACTACCTGCATATTTACACAATTGAACAATGGATTTTCATCCATATGTTGGAGCAAACGCCCTGGCGTACATATAACCACATTGCACTGATCCATACGTTTCTTTTCGAATTTCAAATCCTTTCCTCCTATAATCAAACCCGCTGAAATATCATGGTGCTGACCCACTTTCCGCAACGTTTCATATATCTGATATGCTAGCTCTCTTGTCGGCGTGATAATTAATGCACCCAAGCCATCCAGTCTTGCCCATTGTTTACAATATAAGATTTCTAAAACCTGAAATAATATATCATATCATAATCCCTAGTAAGAATGAAAGACAATGTATGACGAAAAATTGATATAATTCATACTGGAACGAGAAAAGCCAATGTTTTGCCACTGCCAGTTTTCGCAGCTCCTAAAATATCATTGCCTTGCAAAGCCAAACCAATGCTTTGTCTCTGAATATCTGTCATTTCGACATAATTGTTTTCCGTTAAACCCTTTAGAGTAATCCTCGATAAAGGGAGATCGCTGAACTTTGTTGTCTTCGTAACGTCTATCTAAAATTTCGCATTACAATCAGTTTTGTATCTCTTTACGTATTATTATTGAGATTATTGAGCTCATGTACTTACAGCATTATACTTGGACTGCAGCGCCTCGATTATTTTACTTTCTGGCGTATGTTTCTTTTTCACATAAGCCTTTACCTTCTTTTTATTCGCCATAGTCATTTATTTCTTTGCGTTTATTCAGCTATTTCGAATGCTACTTCATTCTTGAAAGAACACGCAATTTGTGTACCGATTTCTTCCTGCCTTGTTTTGCTCCACGTGCGTGGTGTTTCATGCGCATGCGCAGCATGCCAATACATATGACTAGAAACATCTAAAGCCTTCTTAATTGGACTTTTTAATCGATTTTGTTTTCCCTTTTTTTTCTCTAATATAAATAGAAAAAGAGAAAAGACAAACGGTGCAAAAAGTTCAATTAAAAAAAATAAGCCTTTTAACAGTCGATTAAATTTAAAAATTGCAATGGCAATCCTTAATTTAATCTTTTATTTATTTTAATTAAAGGTATTAATTATTATTAAAAATATTATATTTTACATAAATAAACTATAATATAACTATATATATAACTATAAACTATAATTTTCAGAAAATAAACAAGAAAAATATAATATCAATTTGCAATTAGCAATTCTTAAATTTAATTAGAAATATGAAACCAGCTCTTTTTGAGTGCAAAAAGTGCAAACAGTTACTGTATTTCTCTCGTCATGAAAAGATACGAGACACATGCCTAGAGATGGCGTGCATATCTATATTTTTCTTGTTTTAATTTAAAAATATTTAATTTAAATTATTCAAATGGCTGTCAAATCTTCTCAATTATACTTTAATGCCCAATTCCATCAACATAGATTAACTTTAATCACGGTTCAACTTACTCTTTCTAGTTCTAAGAATTAGAAAAAATGAAGAGCAAGTTAAACCGAGATTAAAGTAAATCTACGTTGGTGAAATCGGGCCTAAAACTCCTTATATAAAATACAAATGATCTGATGTATAAAAAGTTTCTTTAATTTATCTATGACAACTAATTGCACAGTATAAAAATAATAAAATAATTAAAATTATTATCGTAACTATCAGTATTTTTAAATATTTCAAAAATTTGCAAACAAATTACAAACGATTCCAAAATAATAATTGAGTAATGTTATAAATATATTAAATCTTTGTACATGTTTAAGAAAAGGAGAGAGATATCGAGATATTAGACAGAATGCATTAGTCAGAATGCGATCAATGAGGATATGAGATGTCAAAGTTCATAATAACTAGTGCGTCGGTCACTGACCACATTGTGTTTTTCGCTATATAAAGAGCTCTTCTTAAACTTGCATATAAATACGTATTCAATAATAAAACGAAGAAAATTGTCAAACAGTCTTATAAAAAAGAATATTTGATATATGTTTGAAGTCATAAATTTGCTTTAAAAGATTCTCTTTAATATACTTTAAGATATATTTCTTAAGATATATGAGATATGCGTTCTTCACGTATAATTAAATAACTTTTTAAATATTTTTTTAAATTACGTACAATGTAATTGAATACTTAATTAATTGAATTGAATTATGTTTTGAGAAAAAAATGTGAAAGCCAGTAAGTATTCCTGAAAGAATGAAATCATTTTTCTTAACTCGCTAAAATAGAAAAAAAATTCAGATGTTTATAAATCAAATTTTCAAATATCAAAGATTAAAAATACTTTGTAGTTTTGTAAGAGAAATTTTTTTTCCATTTTATTTAATTTAGTTTCGCAATCTAGCAATACTCTCGTGTAGCACAGCTATAAAAGAAGGGAGGAGCTAACCCATTGCACCCTGCGATCTTTTTGCTATGTCTTATGCGAATAAATATTAATAGAAGAGACGTGGAACCATCGCTGAAAAACACATATGCGAAATGCGCAAGTATCATCTAGGGTACAGTTGGGTGAATGCATCGCAGGAGGAAAGCAGACCAAAAGAGGAAGAGTAGTTCGAGTAAAGCGACAACAAAAAAAAAAAGGAGAAAGTAGAGTACAAGTATAAAGTTACAAAGGTACATACAAAGATAGACACATATTCGACTATCTTCGTTAACATGTTAACATTAACACCGTGTTTATATGTGTTTACATCGATCGTCCAACTAAGAGGTCCAGAGGAATAGGGGATGCTAGATGTTGAAGAAAAAAGAACATAAATAACTGTGAGGGGGGGGGGGGAGGGGAAGGGAGCGAGTAGAGGAGTAGGAAGAAACGGGCCGATGATCTCGAGGACCGGAAAGCGACCACATATCATCACAGGGATCCTGTAATTGCGGACTGTACCGCGTTCGCGCCTCGTCGGCATTTCTACGCTCACGTACGCTCACGGGCACGTGAAGTGCGCGCATAGAAAATTCAAAGGAAAGCATGTTCTGACGACGAGAGGACACCATGTGTCCACGGGACCACGCGAAGAGGCAATGGAAAACGCCGCGATCCGCGTCGATCACGCTCCTCGCGCGTTCACTGCTGCTGCTGGTGATCGCTTCCGGTTTTCTGTCAAAGACGGCGAACGCCGCGTTGCGAGATGTGGGTAAGTTTTGAAAATCCTGTACAACATAACATTTTACATCTCGCATTCATTTGCGCGAGTGAAACGGGAGAGAGGAAATCGAAACATTGTCTTTAACTTGACTCTTTTTAACGAAAGTCTTCCATCGCGCTTGAGTCTATTTTTTAAATGTTGAGTGTAATTATACAAATGTTGTTTTAATATAATTAAAAATATTTCCTCTTTTTCCGAAGTTATTTAAAAATGTGTCTGATTTTAAAGTACAAATTTTAGATCGTATAGAATATTTTTTATTTGTTGTTAAACTTATTAGTAGAATAATGATTCTTCCATAATAATTGAAATATTATTTTATGAAAGAGTATGAAAAATGCTGTCCTATGCGAAAGAGATTGAGAAGAAAGCTCGTTTCTTCTAAGTAATATGAGCTTATTGTCGATAGATGCGTTTCTAACTGATCTCTATTGTGTTAATTGAGATGCGTTTATGCCACATGCAAAGTTGCATGTTGCAGTCAAGTGGCGGCTTCTTGAATTGGTCCAGACATTCGTTCCAGCGATTTGAATTATGACTTGTGGGTTCATGGGTTACTAGGTTTCTAGTTATTCGTTGCGCCTATTATATCTGCCCCATTTTTAGCTCCGTGTTAGTTATTCTTGGGTGCTGCATTAAAATTTCTCTTATAATTGAGGAAACATTTAACACGTATTTCCTTTTTAAGGAATAGGAAAAACTAGATTCCCTCCTCTTCTCTCTTCTCCTTTTTTTTATTCATGTCATATTTGACGTTTTATCGTCATATCGACGTTTTTTTATTTCAGCGAAGAATGTGACGGATATAATTGAAGCCACGAGGATGCAAGAGCAACTTTTCGGAGTGCAAAGAACGGAAAGTCGTTGCAGAAATGGTACGATCGCGTATGACATCATGGAATCCGCGATTCTGATGACTTCTACCAATACGTTATTTCCAACCGGTATACCGCAGGATTTTTCTATCTTGATTGTCGCAAAGCCAAAAGCTAATGAATCTTCGTTTAAAGGTAATGAAGAATTATTTCTAAATAATTATAATTAGATACATTTAGATGAACGTTCCTTTAATCCTAAATAAAAAAATGTGTAATATATAAAATAATCTTAAAAACAATCTCTGTTATGCAAATTATTATCGATTCGTTTTTATTTAGTCAAATAGTCTGTAAGTATTTTTAAATCTTGAAATTATTCAAACAAGATTTTTATTTAATTGATATCCAATGACTAGATCACTCGGTTCTCTTCACCATCTATGGTGACAGCGGTGAGGAACAGCTGATTTTATCGATGGGACGCGATATTAAACTCTTCTACAGCACAAATCCGGATGATAGGAACAAATCGATTTCCTTTGGTGTTGATGTTTCCGATGGACGGTGGCATCGATTGGGAGTTAGCATCAAGGGCGACTCTGTTACGATTATTCTCGATTGCACGAGACCTATCACAAAGAAGCTGTGGAGGAATTTGGAGAAAACGATCGCTGGTATCATCCTGATCGGACAGCAACTTAAGGGTGATTTATATCTGGTGGGTGAAAAATTATAAAAAACGATAATAATATAAACTTATATAACTGATTTAAAACTGAGATTTATAGTGGAAAATTCATGTGATTTTTTTTTCTGACGAGTTTATAAAAACTTACAACTTACAAAAATATGATGGTAAAAGTTAAATTTATAATTGTATAATTTTTAGATATAAAGTTGTTTCATATTTATTTAGGGAAGTCTCGAGATGTTGAAGATTGCTCCAAATCCAGACGCTGCTTATGAAATCTGCACAGTGTTTGCGCCAGACTGTGAACATCAATCAAGATATAGATCGAGTTATAATTCGTCTTCCAATGAAGATGATTACGAAGAAGAAGAAGAAGACGAGAACAATTCGGATGAAGATAACGAGAACTTTTTAGTTTATGGCACGACAGATATAATTAAGACATTTGAATCAATAACAGAGAATCCCGTAAGAATTTAATTAAATAAATAATTAAATAAGTAAGATAAATTAACATTTTAAAAGAATAATAAATGAAAGAAATTTAGAACAATTTTGTAAAAATTTTAACTATTATTTTTCTGCGATATAAATATTGTTATTATTTATAATTACATATTTATAAAATTTCTTTTTAATAAAATTTTATTCTTTAAGATTTAATTAATATTATTTTAATATACATTATTACATACAGACATTATACAAATATTTATAAAATTGATGATAAAATGTTCTCATAAATATTAATGTTTCTTATTTTAGACACCTTATGAAATGGAAATGACAACAATGACTGCAAATGTGTACAATATGGAATCAAATTATGAACAGAATTTTGAGGAACCTACAAGTGATCCTTATAAGGAAGATGCAAAACATAATTTTCGAGGTTTACCTGGACTTCGTGGATATCCTGGACCTCCAGGGATTCCTGGTCCTCCCGGCAAAAAGGGCGAACCCGGTCGAGATGGACTAGATGGATTACCAGGTCTACCAGGTCCACCAGGTAATGTTTTCGTGATACCATCCTTGAATCAACAAGGAAACGAGAAAGGACCGGATTCTCAGATAGAAATGCTGCGGCAGATGATATCACAACACATGATTGCAATGAGAGGCGTAGAAGGTCCGATGGGCCTTACAGGCGTCCCAGGTCCAGAAGGACCGCCTGGACCTGAAGGACAGAAAGGAGAACCTGGTGAAATTGGTGAACCTGGACCAAGGGGAGAACAAGGTACAGAACATCAAATTTAAAACAAAAAATTGCAATTATATGATTCACGTTTATTCTGCAAAATTATCAATTCTTAATTTTTTAAATAAATGTTCACATTTGTTTTAGTTTATTTAGATTCTTTAATCTTAAGAATGAGAATTACATCTGTAAAATTAAATAGTAAAATAGATTTCTTATATTCTATATTCTTTTAAACTTATCTCTCATAGAAAAAAAGCATTCTGATTCTTTTTGTAGGACATCCCGGACATCCTGGCAGAGAGGGTAGAAGAGGTCATTCTGGTAGAGATGGCGAACGTGGCCTTAGTGGACCGCCAGGAATTAAGGGCGAGCAAGGATCGATAGGATTACCAGGTCTTCCAGGTGATAAAGGCGAACGTGGGCTTCCAGGTATACCTGGAGAACCAGGTTTACAGGGCCATGAAGGAATGCAGGGTGAAGACGGTCTTCCAGGTTTACCAGGTCTACCTGGTGAATTGGTAAAATATACTAAAAATATTATTATTTATTTTTATAAAAAGATATTAAGTATCAGTAATGTTTTCGAATAAAGTTCTTTATTAAAATTAAAAATTATCTTTAATTTAAAAAATATATATATTATTAGCATAATATACGTATAATAAAAAATAATTTTTTATAAGTAAATTTAATTAAACGAGATTTTATTTACCAGGGTCCAAGAGGATTTATTGGACCAAGAGGTTTTTCCGGATTACCGGGTAATCCTGGTATTCCTGGAAGCGAAGGGCCGCCTGGTATTAAGGGTAATGTTGGTCCACTCGGTCCACCTGGTGCACCAGGCCCACCAGGACCTGTAGGTTTGGTGGGATCACCTGGACCTCAAGGTTCGCCAGGACCGATTGGTTTAGTTGTAAGTTATAGATACAATTTACTTTTGTGTAAGGAATTATTTTTATTTCATCATAATTTTGATTACATTTTACATAATTAAATTCTATCAAAAGGGTCCACAAGGAAAGCCTGGGATTCCCGGGCTTCCGGGTGTTGACGGACCTCCTGGACTTCCGGGCAATCCCGGAATTCCCGGGATGAAAGGCGAGCAAGGTCCACCAGGTCCACAGGGATCAGTAGGATTTCCGGGTGTACGGGGTGTAAAGGGCGATGAAGGGCAACGTGGACTGTCGGGTGAACGCGGCGAAAAGGGCGAAAGAGGATTAGAAGGCGAAAAAGGTGATGCTGGAGCGAAAGGAGAGCCTGGAATAACAGGACCACAAGGAATTCCTGGCCTCGAAGGTTTGGAAGGACCGAAGGGTTTCGAAGGACCTCGTGGTGAGACTGGTTCCGCTGGTCCGCCTGGAGAAAAGGGAAAGATAGGTATACCCGGATACGCTGGCTATCCTGGAAATCCTGGAGAAAAAGGGGACAGAGGACAATCAGGAATTCAAGGGCCAAGTGGCGATAAAGGCGAAAGAGTAACTTATTGATAATTATATGTGGAGTTAAGTGCTAACATTTTTTATAAAAAAAATGTCTTTCACTTATTTCTCTTTCTTTTAGGGAAACACCGGATTGCAAGGAGAACGAGGTGCACCAGGTCCACGGGTAAATTTTTATTAAGATCTAATTTCTCACAGTTATAGATTTTGTATACTTAAATAAATGTTATTAAAATTATTTTGTTAGTTAGTAATGTAAAATTTTTGAAAACATAATTACAATTTTCTAAATTAATATAGAATGTACAAAATTTTTAGAATTGTATACATTAGCAACAAACATATCATATTTTTAAAAAATAAATTTAACTTATTAAAATTATTTCTTAAACGTCTTGTATATATTATTTTAAATTTATAGTTTTTTATAATATTATTATTATACTGTATATTTATGTACTTTATATTTATGTTATTAAATAATTCTTTAGTTTATTCAAAAAATTGATTAGAAATATAGGGTTTCAGGGGAACGCGTGGTAGAAGAGGCGCAGAAGGATTACCAGGACCAAAAGGTGACACTGGTCAACCAGGACCAGTTGGATTGTCCGGTGAAATCGGTCCTCCTGGCGTTGAAGGACCACGTGGATTTGTTGGACCAGCAGGTCCACCGGGTCTTGGCGGAAAAGATGGTATGCCTGGACCACCTGGCGAACGTGGTCCAATTGGAGAATCGGGACCTCCAGGACCTCCAGGAACTCCCGGTGTTATCGGTCCTCCAGGACCACCTGGAGAATCTGGACAACCAGGTGAACCTGGAGCACCTGGCAGTCTCGGAGCTCCAGGTGAGATTGGTCTACCAGGCGAACAAGGGAAAGAAGGATCGCCTGGTCCAGCTGGCTTAATGGGAATCCAAGGACCCCCAGGTCCTGGTGGATTACCAGGATTTCCAGGTGAAAGAGGTCTGAGTGGGTTGCCGGTTAGTTGTATTCAAAATAAAACTTACGAGATGTAGACTTGTTAATCGCTTTTAATATTTTATTTGATATAATATTTATAATATTTAGTAGTTTTAATTGTAAATTCTAGGGATTGCCTGGTTTAAAAGGAGAAATAGGACCTATCGGACCTTATGGACCACCCGGAGATAAGGGTGCTCAAGGTGAACCTGGTAAAGATGGACCATCAGGTCCAGAAGGAAAACAAGGACTCAAAGGAGAGAAGGGTTCAACCGGACTTAAAGGCGAAAGAGTAATTTTACAAAGCAAAAAATATATAAATTTTGCTTTTATTCAAAATTTTTCTAATATTTTTTAAGACACGCAATTTATAAGTTATTGTAGTATAATAATGTAGAATTAAATAATGTAATTAAAACTGATATACAATTAAAGTATTTTTATTTTATAGGGTGATTCTGGATTAATTGGGCCAGTAGGTCGCGACGGTCTACCGGGACAACGTGGTTTACCTGGTCCACCTGGACCTATTGGCTCTCCAGGCGAAGATGGTGATAAAGGAAACATAGGTTCACCCGGTGAAAAAGGATTTAAAGGATCTCAAGGAGATGTAGTACGTATAATTACATTATTTGATTATATGTATGTACAATTAATTGAAAAATAAAAAAATTTTAAAGCTTATAATTCTTTTAATTATGCTATTATAATATGTAGGGTCTCCCGGGTCCTCAAGGAATTCAAGGACCACGTGGTGAACCTGGCTTAGTAGGTCCTCCTGGGGAAAAAGGACCACCAGGTGAGATTGGTCAGCAAGGACCAAAAGGCGAAGTTGGACTGGTTGGAGCAACTGGACCAACTGGACCTGTAGGACCAAGTGGTTTACCTGGTGAATCAGGTGTAAAAGGTGAAGTCGGAGATCCTGGAGCAATCGGTCCTGTAGGACCACCGGGAATTCCGGGAGAACGAGGCATGACAGGATTGAAAGGCTTGAAAGGTGCAGAAGGTCCGCCAGGTCCAGAAGGTCGTCAAGGTGAAAAAGGAGATAGTGGAATGCCAGGACTTACGGGGAAACCAGGAATAGAGGGCAAACAGGTAAGATAAATTGTAATGTAAAATTTTCATATCCTAACGTAATGTATATTTCCTAATGTATTTAAGGGAGAAAGAGGTTCACCCGGAGTAAAAGGAGAAGAAGGCAAAATAGGACTTCCCGGACTTCTTGGACCACGAGGATTAATTGGTCCTGAAGGACCAAAAGGTGATATTGGTTTACCGGGATTTCCTGGTCCACCCGGAGAACCTGGTCTTATGGGTGCAAAAGGCGAGCCTGGAAAGGATGGTGAGGATGGACGAGTAGGCGATCCTGGCATATCAGGTGAAATTGGACCACCTGGCAAAGAAGGATTACCAGGTTCTCCTGGACAACCGGTATGATAATTTCAATTTATTTTTTAAGAGGATAAAAAATTTATTTATATAAATGTTATTAATTTTTAGGGTCCAGAAGGTCCGGCGGGTCAGCAAGGTAACACAGGTTTACCAGGAGAAAAGGGAGATATTGGTCTTCCCGGAGCACCAGGTCTTCAAGGACATGTCGGACCTCAAGGTCTTCCTGGTTTGCCTGGATTGACAGGGGATAGAGGTTTGCCGGGCATAGCTGGAGAAAACGGCCTCGTGGGTATGCCGGGAACCGCTGGAGTTCCTGGAAGTATCGGACCGCCTGGTCCAAAGGGTCCGAGAGGCGACAGAGGTCGGAGAGGTATTAAAGGACATCGAGGCGAACCGGGACTTATTGGAATTAAAGGTGATCAAGGAAATGAAGGAGAGAAAGGTGATCGTGGATTGCCTGGAATAGAAGGGCCTAAGGGAAATCCTGGGCGACCAGGCCATGATGGACCTAGAGGCGAACAAGGATTTATCGGTCTACCTGGTCCGCCGGGACCACCCGGACCGAAAGGAAATACTGGGAATGATGGAACGCGAGGTGACATAGGTCCGGCGGGTCCGCCAGGTCCACCCGGACCACCCGGTTTATCAATGGAACAACTCGGTCTGGACGGAATAATTCCGTCGATATTTCACGATGAATCAACTAGAAGAAAACGCGACATTTTTGAAGATATGTAAGAATCATATCTCTGATCTGAAATGGAAATCTGCATACATTAAAAAAGTCGTGTCTTTTTCAAAACATTTTTTATGAGCTTTACTCTACATTATATTATTAATCGCAAATTTTTGCTTAATGGATTTGGATTCTAGAATTATAAAAGAGTTTATTTTTGAGACTTCATTCATCGTTTTTGATCTGTTTAGTGATGAAGAAGAGACATTTGACATGAGGCTTTTAGAGATAAACAAGGCTTTTGTCAATATACGACAGGAATTGAATTCAATACGTAGACCAACTGGTACCAGAGATAATCCAGCAAGAATGTGCAAGGACTTGTTTTATGGACATCCTGATTTTAATGATGGTAAAAATCACATTTCTTACATTAAAATTTTCAATCATATGTCAAATTTAAGTTTTATAAGTAAATTTATAATTAAAATTTTTATATGTTTAATAATTCGCGAACAAAATAATATTTGTAAAAAATGTAAAACTTTTTCTAAAATTTTGATCTTATTCTATCTTCAAATAATCGTAAAATTATTATAAGATTATTCTTTTTTCTTTTATTAATATAATAACATTATTTATTCTACAAAATACTGGCAAAAAAAATACTGGCTGAGTATGATCATTAATAGTTGAAAGATTTGATTGTTCTTTGTCAAACAGGTTGGTATTGGATCGATCCAAACTTGGGTATGCCTGACGATGCTATCAATGTGTTTTGCAACATCACGAATATGGGAGAAACTTGCATTTTTCCTGATATTCATAGCAGTCACATGCCAAGTATACCATGGAGGAAAGAGGACAATAAAACCGACTGGTATTCGCGTTTGCGTGGAGGATTTAAAGTAAGCTCGATTAAATTTACATTTTTCTCAATTAATTATTATTGCAATTATTATTATTAATAACAATGTTAATTAAATACATTCTTTTTTCTCTCTTTCTCATTCTTCTCTTTCTCTTTCACATTCTTTTCTTTTATCGAGAAATTGTTTACGTAAATAAATGAACTCTTAATAAATATAAATAAATTAATAATTTTAAACTTATGTAAATTAATAAAATTAACTAGTAAAAACTCTGAAAATAATGGATTTAATGGAAAAAAGTGAATCATATTTTCCAGATGAGTTACGAGACGATAGGAGTAGTACAAATGAATTTCCTGCGTTTGCTTAATCAAGAAGCTTATCAAAATTTCACATACACGTGCACGAATAGCGTCGCCTGGTACAATAACGAGGATCGCGGTTATAAATTTTCGTTGCGATTACTCGGCGATAACGAAGACGAATTCTCATACGACGGTATTAGGCCCCATCTTATCACGGACGATTGCAAGAATCGAAGTGGCAAGCATGAGACCGTGTTCTTAATTAGCACTAAAAAACTGCAACAGTTGCCGCTGGTCGATTTTTATCCAATCGATTACGGATTGCCGCAACAAGCTTTTGGCTTCAAAGTAGGCCCGGTTTGCTTCAAATAAATGACTGAACTGATTATATAATCCTTTCGCGGATATTATTTTTATATAATTCTAACGCAATTAATATACCAAAGTTCGATTCAGGAAATAAAATTATCATGTATTTATGATACTTTGATGATTATAGATTTTGTAAGTATATAACGTTTTAATATCTTCTATACAGTACAGATTGAAGATTTTGTAACGTTCATAGATATAATTTTTGTGTATGAGTAATACGCTCAAATATATATATATATAAATAAAATGATGTGTTAATTATTAATTATCCTTTAATATACTTTTATATTTATATTTTCAACTGTTATTATTGATTATTATTCATGATTAATTAATTAACTTTTTATAAATATATTATATGTTACAATATTAGATATTATTAAAATTAATTAAATTTTAATTTAAAATTAAATTTTCCTTAAAGCAAATCAATTTTTATAACAAATAATTAATTATTTATTAATATACCAGTTTTTTTCTATCTTTAAATGTATATTGTATAATAATAGGATTAATTATTAATATATTATTTTAATATATTATATTATTAATATATATTATAATATATTTTAACATATTTTTATATTATATGGATTTATCATTTATATACGTATCTAAGAACCTATTTGTCATCAGGTTCCGTGGTGTAGCGGTTATCACGTCTGCTTTACACGCAGAAGGTCGCCAGTTCGATCCCGGCCGGAACCACTTTTTTTTTTCTATATATTTATTTAGGTACAAAATCCTGAAAAGTAAAATAATTTAAAAAAAATTTTTTTACAAAAAATAGAATAGAAATAAAATGAATTAATAATTAATTACACTTATCTAAAGATTTTTAATCTATTTATTTCGAATTTACAATTTTAAGATTTTTAGATACCTTTTTTATCTGTAAATCGCGTAAGATACGCTATCAAAATTTGATTTCAGAAATGTACATTATTTAATAAGTTTAATCATTAAAATAAACATGGATTTCAATACTCATTCTTCAAGAATTGGACATTCCTTGATCTATTTTTTATTTTCACATTTAGAAGTTATATATCTATTTATTTTGTAGAACTTAATTCAACTGAAAAAACCAAAAGAAATTAACTCGATAACTTTTTGAAATAATTAGTCAGTATAGGAACTGAACAAAGCCAAATGTATCGGCGAGAAAACCGCGGAACGCTCCATCGAGTGCTGCTATCCGACGTCACACTTATCGACTCTCGGCGAGAGGGTGAAAGTATGAAAAGATTCGAGTGAGAGATAGGGCGGATCGAAGGAATCCGCGAGAATGGTGAGATATGCGTGGGCGAACCGTGAGAAACCGCAGGTGACACCTTGTCATGGCGGTCGGCGGTTCACACTTTGGTTTCTTTCGTCCTTTTTCTGGTGACAAGACAACCGGAGTAACGGCGCAGGGCCGCTTTCAGCGTGGAATTGAAAGAGTGAAAAGAGCTCAATCGTGTTCCTTGAAATCTCGTAGAAGTTAAAAAAGCGAACGTAAAATCGTATTATAAATAAACTGAATAATAATAAAAGAAATTACATAAAAAAATTATTAAAATACAATAATGTGTATTACTTGCAAGAGCATAAAAATAGATCGCAATTTAAAAATACAAGATTAAAGATCTACTAAACTCGGCAAAAAAAAAATTGAAAACTTTTTCTTTTCTTTTAATAAAATTATTAAAAATATATCGTAAATTGTTTAAATAATATCTGTCTATTACCTGTGAAGGATCAAGATATTATTTTGTTTTGCTCGCAGCGCAGATTGGCAAAGTTCATTATGATAAAGGGACTGTGATAGTCCTATTGGAAACTAGACGGCGTCCCTGGCATCGAGCGTCTTTTTCAACGTAGCGCGGTTGGAGGGATAAAAGGTTTCCTTGTTTAACAAAATATCGTCTCCGAGCCATTAGCCCGACCGTTGCCACTTCAGCGCGATTTTCTGCTCCCGTCATCGCGTCGAGGAGGCACTCGAGGATCTCGGCGGATCCTGCGAGCTATCAAACGCAGACCTGTCTCTCTATCTACCCTCCACGACAACCTCGATGTGTTGAAATTAACGGGAAAGCTCGGTAGCTCGGTGCACTCGACTATTGTTACCATTAACTCGACCTTTAATTTCCATCTAAGTGATCATAGTTCTTTCCTTCTTTTATTTATTTTATCTTTTTAAAAGGCGCTGATAATAAGATAGCTTATAAAAAATTAAGGCGTAACTCTATCGTTAATTTTTTTAAATATATTTTGAATTTTATGTCGCGATCATTTTCGTACGTTGTAATTGGTATGTGTAATATCATAATTAACGTATATCATAATTAATTAATTTAATTATCTATTTAAATAATCTGTATAAGTACAAGTGCAAGATACAGTAATAAATATTACTGTATTCTTGTATTTTTTAAAAATATTTTGGAATAAATAAATATTCTTTCTCGAATTTTGAGCTTATTTCTGTACTGAATAACTTCATGTCCCCACATGTCTCAAGTACCGAGCATAAAATATCTAATGGATAAAACGGCCTGATCGCATACACGTACTCTCGAGATGGCGATCATTGATTTCCATCCAGGGAAATAATAAATAAAATATTCAGAGAATACTATATGCCATTACGCTTGTCTTGCGTAACCGTAACGTCGCAGCGCCGTGAGAATCTACCAGATGTCACAGTTACTCCCAGAGTACCGTAATAGGAATGTATTCCAACGAGCTCTGTCAGATCTTTGTTTAAGGATCAATTATTGCTGAAGCTTAAGATCTACTAATGTAAATCGATCTAGAAACTATGTAGCGTGATCAGCTTCAAATAATGTTTGAGTAAAACAACATTTAAAAAATATGCAGGGCGATTTCAGATTTCTTAATTCTTATTTTGTTTTCGAATTTTTCGAGTCATTCCAGATACGACCTTTTTTAAAGAAAATTTAATTTCTTTCTCGGATTTATAACTTTAAATATTCATAATTCACGGAGTACATGTACAACTATGTTTGTACGTATATATTCAATTTAAAATTTTATAAAAATAAAATTTATAATATCAAATTTTACTAAAATAAAAATATTCAACTAAAATTTAATCCACAAAATGTGTCCTAAACTTTCAATCATATATTTTTCATATATTTTTCATATATTTAATTCTTTTATTATAATTTGTTCCACTTATATATATATATATATATATATATATATGTGTGTGTGTGTGTGTGTGTGTGTGTGTGTGTGTGTGTGTGTGTACTTTGCCTTAGTTTTCTCTTTGACATTATGTGTTATTATTGAATACTGAAAAGAATTTGCCAAAAAAAATAAATTTCTTTTCTATTCTTTTCTCCTTCTCTTTTTTTTCATTTCTCCTGATACTTCTCATGTTGTTCGCTCGATAACGCCGGGGTTCGACCTCGGTGGTTCTTCGCGATTAGCCGGAGGGAGAGGCACCGAGAGCCGCGCGCGAGTTGACTTTCGTGCTTTGACTCGCTCACCGTCGTTTACAACATAGTGGAGGAAACGGTGGAAAGGAAGCCCCTCACGGCCTCGAGGGGTTGCGCTCGTTCAACCCCTACGAGGATCGCAAAATCCTCCCCGCCCGGCCCCGCCCATCGGCCAATCATCATCGCTGTTTGAAGTCTCGCGCACGTGTTTTCGCGTCGACGGGCAGAAATGCGTCCGCCCAGTCGCGCGAACCTTGGGGGATGATAATCCTCGCTAGCTGACACCCTTCTCCGCACCGCAACCGCAGCCAAGGTTCGATCGCGACGGGCAAAAATTACGAGTTATAGATAGCACGTGTTCCGACGCGTTTATCCGAGTCCGACGCGTTTTGTTGGCCGCGACAAGAAGCAATCGTCACGAAGAACGATCGAGAGACTTTCGTGATTCCGATTGGAATAAATAAACAACGATTGACGTGAACGGAATTCCGAGGGATTCATTTCGCAATTTCGTGTCGCGCGTGGTTTCGTGTTTTGTAAATTGTTATACGAACACTTCAGGGGTTGTCTGCTGTTATCATGACGCGGATTTGATATATCGGAATAAATTCACTTGATTTTAGGTAATTGGGTATCATTTAAAATTCTTTAAAGACCTTTAACATTAGCTGCACTGATAAAGAATTTTTTTAAATAAAAATAAATTTTACACATTCATTTAAGAGAGATTAATGTAATCAGTCATATTCCTTTTATAAAGATTTTATGTTACTAATTAAAAAACAAGTTATATTTTTTATTATAGAATTAGAGAATTATTGTAGAATTAAATTAATTTTGTCATTTTTGTATTAAGCTAAATAATAATTAAAGATTACTTGTTGCACAAAATGTAAATAACATTGCAATAAATTTTGAGATGAGAAATAATATATTTTTTAGACACTAGAAAGGTATAATAGCATTTTTTCTTTTTTCAATTAATTTCACATTATATATACTTAAATTCTTAAAGAAGAAAAGCATTTTGTTTTATTCTTCAGAAAACGCGTTAAAAATTTAACTAAAATGAAAATAAAATTGAATTCTTACGAAATATTATTATTAATCTTACCGCGTATCAAATACTGTAAACATTGATATTGAAGATACTTTAATCGGTCAATTAGTTTTTAGAATATTTATCGCGATCATCGTTGTACTCGGTTGAATATTTATAGTGAATAGCTTGCAGTGAACAGAAGAAAACTTTTTGCAAAAGTTGGAATCTAATATAAGTAAGTATTATTTTTATGCTCCGAGACTATACAAATCTAAGACATAATTGAATATGTAGTAAATTGAAAGTTTTTGAATTTTTAAATTAGTTTCTTTTATAATTGTAGTGACAATTTCCTCAATGTGTAATAATTTTCTCCATGGACCCATGGTTCAAAATCAAGTTAAAAATTCTATAGCCGTGAATACAAATAGAAATAATTTGTTGAGAAAGTTATTTTTAAAATTTAATTTGTTATTATTATAAAAATAATTCGTTATTTTCTTTTCTTTTGTTATTCAAAGGTAATGAATTGCTACGATACATTTCATCATTTTTTCATGAAACATTTTCATGAAGAATCATTTCTTTAAGACGCTTGTGCATATATCATATATACATATGAAATGACTGAAAGTAACAAAAAAGTAACAATTATTTTTATTATTATTACTTAAAAATATAATTGCGTTACCAAAATTTGTTATCGAGAAAAGTAATTATGACA